TTAAAAAAATCATTAAATTTTGGGCTTAATGCCTTCCTTTATTTCTGTGGTATGCCATTTCGTTTTTCATGCAGCGTTAAATGGCCTCTGGCGTGTCGATCATGCGGATGTGCCCCTCTCCCCTCCTCCCCCTCTCTTTCTCCACCTCTCTCTCTATCTTTCTTTGCAATTTTCGTTCTTTCTCTTTCTCTCTCTCTCTCTCTCTCTCTCTCTCTCTCTCTCTCTCTCTCTCTCTCTCCCCCCCCCTTCCTCATTCCCCTATTCTTCCTCTTGTTTTCCCTCATCTCTTTCTCTTTCTTTCTCTCTTTCCATTTATTCAGTGCTTGTCAACCTTTTCATAGCAACCTTTATGACAATTTTTGTACGCCCACCAATACTAATCTGCAAGTGGGGCATTAAATGACTACCTCTCACTGACTGGGCGATCCCCTTCGCCCTTTAAAATGACTAAATCGTCCACTAGTGGTAGACAAGCACTGCTCTAGCCCCTCTGCCAGACACAACAACACAACCAGCTGCCATGTGTGCATGCATTTGCACGGCTGGTTGTTTCCAGACGTGGCAGTCAATACGCAGGTTCTATTGTCCGTATTTCACGGTACGCCAACGTCTGGCATGCACAGTGCCCTGCTGGAAAAAACAACAACCCAACAACCCCAAAACGATGGAAAATATCCGACCATCTCTTGCTCCTCGAAAGAGAGAGAGAGAGAGAGAGAGAGAGAGAGAGAGAGAGAGAGAGAGAGAGAGAGATCCTATCCCCTCCCCGAAAAAAAGAAGAGTAACAAATCCAACACAAAACAAAACAAAACCAAAACAGTAAAACAAAACCAACTCAACAAGGACCAACCTAAGAAACAAGACCGCAAACCACCAAGCAATGAAATGCGTAGTGGGATTCGGTATACTGCATAGTGTACATTGACATGTATTAAAATGTTCTTTTCCTAGTAGTTCAAATCTTAGAACGGAAACAGGGAGTGGCGAGGAAGGAAACATTCAACTACATGCTGTAGCCTATAAGTAGACATTAATTATTTGTTTATAGAGGCACCAACTATTTATATGAAGATCATGTTTTAGCCAAGTAAAAATAGACTCGTTGCTGCAAGCGAAATCGGATCATGTATTTGACGACGATCGGCTGACCAAACTCCATTATGTTCCTGCTTTGGAACAAATCTTGACGTATTCCCTTTTTCTGGGTCGATTCTTGTTTATGGTGTGCACATGCATAAATGACGATTGTTTCTTTCTTGTAAATGTGTGTTAACTGGCTTGATGTCGCTTTTGTGCCAACTCTGACAATTTGACAACTTTTTGTGGATGTCCCCTTTTGGAGACCTTAGGAGAGACATTAGAGTTTTGTTGTCAGCTATGTAGAAAATGGAAATAACTCCTGCATGTGAGTCTGAGGAGGAGGAGGGAAAAAAAGGGGTGGGGTGGGGGGTAGATTCCGCAGGTATCCGTTTTTGTGTGCGTTATTGACACCATGGTACCTCTTGTGACCTCCAGGTCACACGCAACTAATTGATTAAAAAAAACTATTTTGCATTTTGAAATATGCAACACGCTTTTTGAACTCGATGTATTATTTTGAAGTATGCAACTGTTTCTTTTTCATTCTTTACTTTTTACTCTCTATTTCATTTTGAAACATACAACTTATTCTTCTCTACTCTGTGTTTCATTTTGGGACATGCAATATATTATATGCTCCTTTTTTTAACTCTACGTTTCATTTTGAATTTTGTTATGCTTACCGCCGTTCTCTGGTGTAGCGGTTAGGCTCTCCGTCATCATGCGCATAAGACCTGAGTTTGATTCCCGTGTTGGGAGAATTTTTATGAAGTGTTTCTTTCTTTCTGCTGGGACATTGTATCTTTCTCAACCTGGGTTGGCAGATTCGAGGCCTGCCCCCTAAATAATGTTAATTGTGTTGATGGGGGCTTAAAAACACCCACATTAAATTTATTGAAAAAAACAAACTATAGTAGCGTGTAACCTGGAGGTGCCATTACTTTGCTGCCTCGGTACTTGGTTTGGTGTCCTGGCTTGTTTGGGTCTTGGGCTTCTATTCTGTCGCCGGAGAGTCCTCGGGGGGAACATAACAAGAGATACCTCTAGTGGTGACCTGCGACACTCCGCGGTCGGAAAGGAACCCAACCAACTGTGAACTCCAACCATGGGAGGACGACCGCTAGATTTAACGCTTCGAATGGTGTTTACGGGGGGTACAGTACTGAAGACCCTCGCGTGTTTGTAGTATCTTCTTCTTCTTCTTCTCTTTCTTCGGATCTTTTTCATTCTTCTTCTTCTTCAGATCTTTTTTCTTTCTTCTTCTTTTTCCTAGCATTTTCAGTACTTAGAGATGTTGTCCCTCGGACCTTTCTGCAATAAAACGCGTCTCTTGCCATTCTGCCTGCCTGAGTTGTTTTGATGCGTGTAGTCTACTTTACATAATTTGGACTGCTGTGAAGATTTAGAGAAGGACTTGCGGGTAGTATTATGGTTGCTGTAGCGAGCTCAGGTTTATGACTTTACTGCTGCTTCTTGAGCGCGGGTTCGTTACAATCTTCAGTGTCGCCGTTTGTAATTGTTGTTGTCGGTCCCAGAGATTGATTTGGTTACTTTGTGTGTGTAGGGCCTATGTGTGTGTGTGTGTGTGTGTGTGTGTGTGTGTGTGTGTGTGTGTGTGTGTGTGTGTG